TCCGCGTGTCCCGCGAGCGCATGTGGCGCGTCAGGCTTGCTTTCCTCCACGTCTGCGACCGGGGGTGGGCCAGCGGTGACGAGCTGATGGTCCTCGTGGGGCGCTTCGCGTGGGCCGCGCTCCTTCGGAGGCCCCTCGTGTCCATCCTGTCCTCGGTGCATGAGTTCTCTGAGTGGGCCGGGCCGCGCCGTCGGCGCCTCTGGCCCCAAGTGGAGGAAGAATTGAGGATGGGTGCCGCTCTGATCGTGTTCGCTCAAATCCAGTGTCGTCGTCTCATCGATCCTGAAGTCCTTGCCACCGACGCCTCTACCGGAGGAGCTACTGGGAGCGGGGGATTCGGAGTCGTGTTTAGTAGATGGGAAGCCGTCGATGTTGTCTCAGCCACTCGTGTTTCGGAGTCCTGGAGATTTTCTGTCGATGAAGCCATCTGCCCGCCAGCATGCCCTTGGGGCGGTCGGGGACTCCGTTTCGTCAAAGACCGCTTTCGACAAGGCTGAACGCCGACGCCGCCGAGGTACTACGTCGTTTATTCAGTTGACCGAGGTGCATGTTGGGGTGGAGGAGGATTGGAAGCTGTTGGTCAAGGGTAGGTTCTGGGGCTCCGAGCACATCGGTCGACTCGAGGGACGGGGGCTACTTGTTGGAGTTCGTCATCGAGCTAGGGCGTTGAGGTCTCGGGGGTCCAGGATTTTGGTGCTAGTCGACAACCTCCCAGTCGTCTTGGCCTCGGGGAGGGGGCGCGCCGCGTCCCAGTCCATGAACCGCACGTGCCGCCAGCTGTGCGCCCTTAGTATCATGGGGGACCTCGACATCGTCGTTCGCTGGATACCCTCGGAGTTGAACCCCGCCGGTCGGCCGTCTCGAATGCCGGGTCAGGTTGTCCAGGATCCCCGACTCGATCGGCGACATGCTGCGTTTCGACTCCCAGGCGCCCCTGGTGATGCCGGGGCTGTTCCAGGACGTGCATCAGTTCCTCCTGGCCTGTATGCTGACGTAGCCAAGGCTCGGCTCAAGGGCGCGATCGAGGATCTTGCTCTCGGCACTTCGGGCTGCTCGAGTCATGGAGGTCAGGAGCGGGCGGCTGGTCTGGCCGACCTCGAGAGGGGCTTCCAGGGCTTCCACCCCGGTGAACGGGGAAGTGACGAGGGGCCGCCTGATGAGGCCTCGTGTTCCTCGAGCAGCTCAGCTACGGGGGACGAGCTCGACGGCTTGGACGACGACCCCATCGCTCGGGGTGATGGCCTCGGCCTCCACGACGTCCCGTCGGCCGCCTCCTCAGACGGGCCGCTCTATGAGTCTTCGAGTGGCCCAGCGAGGGGTGGCCAGGCGTGCTGCGAGCGCGCCTCTCGGCGACCTGGAGCCGAGCAACCTCGCCTTCCTGCAGGCCCACCGCGTCAGGAAGGGGACCGCCCGTTACCTGACGAAGGAGTGGGAGGAGTTTCAGCAGTGGTGCTTGGAGCGGAGGCAGCCCGTCGAGCTGGGCGACCCGCTGGATCGGGCCGCGGCCCAGTACGTGGACTGGCTCTACTTCGCGGGCTACAACCACGAGCGCGGCGACAAGTTGTTGGCGTCCATCGGTTGGCACGACCCCCAGGCTGTTCGGCACGGGCCAAGAGATCCTGTCCGACTTCGGGTGGCCTTGAAGGGGTTCCGCCGGCTGGCCCGAGGGTGCTCTCGCACCCCCATGCCGGAGCCACTGCTGTTTGCGATCATCGGCGTCAGTCTCCACTTTGCCCCGCTGGAGTTCAGCGTCGCTCTCGCGATAGCGTGGGGCGGGGCGCTGCGGTTCCTGGTCGGTCTGATGAGCATGACCGGTCGCAGTCTCGTGCCGCCTGCGAGCGGGAGCCCCAACAGGTGCTGGGGGCTCCTCCTGTATCCAGAGGAGGGGATGGGCCGCAGCAATGTGGGCGGCCACGACGAGGGCATGCTCCTGGACTCCGCGGCCGCGCTGTCCATCGGCGGGGTGCTGCGGAGGCTCAAGGCCCAGACTGCGGACGACAGCAAAGTGTGGGGCTTCTCGGCGCACCAGTTTCGACAGTGGTTCAAGGCCGCAGCCGAGGCCATCGGGTGGCCGCGGCTCCATCCGTATCAGATCCGCCACGGGTCAGCAAGTCGCGACATCTTCCACAGACGGCGGACGTGGCCAGAAGTCCAAGAGCGGCTTCGCCACGCCGCCGTCGCCAGCACAGCCCGCTATCAGAAGCACACTCGCTACCTGGCCGAGCTGGGGAAGGCGTCGCGAGAGCTCGGGGACTTCGCGAGCGACGTGGAGGCCCACTTCAGCGAGCTCGTGACCGGGCGAAGGCCCCCCCCGGCCTGGGCCGGCGCCCCCAAGCGTCGGCGCGGCCAGCAGGGCGAGGCTCTGCTCTGAGAGGGGATCTGGTGCATCGCGACGGTGACGTGGTCGTGCGCGTTGAGCGCGTCAGTGGGGCAGCTGTCCGACGCTTGATGTCCAGGATCTTGCGGGAGGAGCTGTCTCGAGGACTTCGTCACTCACAGGTGTATCTTGATGTCTTCTCTGGTGCTGGAAAGGTTGCCAATTCAATTCGTCGTATTTCAGATTTCGGTTGCATCCCCATCGATCTCAAAGATTCTGTGGCCATGGATATGGCAGTTCCGAATTTGATCAAACTGCTGGTTGGATGGATCAGCAGCCGAGTGGTGAGAGGAGTCATGATTGCATTTCCGTGTACTACGTGGTCGATGGTTTCTCATTTTCTCTATCGTAGCCTTGAATTCTTGGATGGTCGACCGGGCCTGACTCTGGCGCAGCAGGCGAAAGTGGGCGCCGGCAACGCCACCTTCCGTGGGATGCTGCTCCTCTTGTCCGCTTGCTTGCGCGCTGGAGTGCCAGTGCTACTGGAGAACCCCGCATCGTCTATGGCTTGGTCTCACCCCACGTTGTCTCCCTTGTTGGCGAGGCCGAGCTGCAGGATCTCAATCGTTGACATGTGTGCCTTCGGCAGCCCGTGGAGGAAGCCCACCAAGCCTGTGGGCTGGAACGTGCGTCTGCCACAACCCTCCATGTCCCGCCGATGCCAGGGGCGCCAGGGGTTGTGCAGCTTCAGTCACATGCGACACGTTGAGCTCCAGGGCAAGATTCCAGGCACTAGCATCTGTCGGTCACGGCTTGCTGAGACCTACCCATCACGTTTCGCTCTTGGCCTCGCCAAATGGTTGTTTCAGTCCGCGGATGCGCTGGAACATCAGAGAATGTTGACTGTGGTTTCGAGATGATCATGGGCGGCTGCCAGGGCATCCAGAATGGAAATGGGTGCGCACTTGGTACCAAGATGTTGTGCACGACCGTCGAGCCCAGCCCTCCGTTCCACGCAGAGTGAAAGATGAAAAAGGTGAGGCTCCAGTGGGCCCCTGAGGCCCCTTGGCTCGGACCCTCAGGTCTGAGCCTTTCTTTCAGTCTCAGTTGGTAGTGAGCATGTGTGCATAAATTAGCTTTCCAAACGGTGTTGCGCAACTGCAGGATGGCCGCTGCGCGGCGAAGCACGAGCACGTCCGTGCCGTCGCCGTGCTCGGCTCAAGCTCCTCCTCCTCCTCCTCCTCTCCTCCCCCGCGTCTCTCTGTGAGTCTTGCTTGGAATTTTTGTGTGCGCACCCCCCCTTGTGCCGTCGACCCACGGCTGCAGTTGGGGGTGCGCACTTGGTACCAAGATGTTGTGCACGACCGTCGAGCCCAGCCCTCCGTTCCACGCAGAGTGAAAGATGAAAAAGGTGAGGCTCCAGTGGACCCCTGAGGCCCCTTGGCTCGGACCCTCAGGTCTGAGCCTTTCTTTCAGTCTGAGTTGGTAGTGAGCATGTGTGCATGTATGTATGTATGTTTGTATGTGTGTGTATGTATGTATGTGTGTATGTATGTATGTATGTATCTATCTATGTATGTATGTATGTATGTATGTATGTATGTATGTATGTGTGTGTGTGTATGTATGTATGTATGTATGTCGAGGCGAGGCGGCCCGGGTCTGCCCGCCTGCGATGGCGGCAGCGCACCCACGGCCACCCCCCTCTCTCCCCGGCGGCGGCCCCTGGGGGCCCTTGGAGGCCGTGCGCGGGCGCGGGCGTGCTCTCCCCGCCGGCTGCGCGCCCCCGCCGGCCCTCCCCGGGAGCCTCGAGGATCGGGGCGGGCGTCGATGCTCGGCGGCGACCAAGGGGGGGGGAGTGAAAAGGAAAAGGCCTTCTCAGAAGGCCTTCTCAGAAGGCTCCCCGCCGGGTGCCGGCCCCCAGGCCCTCCGGGAGCCTCGAGGCGGGGCTGGACGAAATGGGGGGGATCGGGAAAGGGGGGGGTTACGAAATCTGCGGCATGCGGCTGGTTTCGGCCACGCCGGGGGGCCCATTCCTCGATGCATGGGCGCCTCCCGTCGCCGGGCGGCGCTGGGAAAATCAGCTACCTGAGCTGATTCTCAACCCCCCCCTTTGCTATCTCCCCCTTTCGCCCGGCCCGAGAGACGGGGCGGGGTTCGATGCCCGGCGGCGAGCGAGGGGGGGAAGTGAGAAGGAAAAGGCTTTCCCAGAAGGCCCGGAAGTTGACTAGGCCTTTTTTTGTCGCAGCCGCAGGCGAAGGCGCTGGCGGCGTCACAGGTCGGCTCGGGCTACGAGCAGACCTAGTTGCCCAGCGCGTGCGCAGGCAACAGCTAAACCTATCGCCGGGGGAAGCTGGGCTGTTGATTAAACCGCTAAGCTTTTCCCGAAAACACAAAAGCTTTTCAGATGGCGCGAGGGCTTCTGAGAAGTCCCGCCGCCTTCTGAGTAGGCCTTCTTTTTCTCTTTTCCCCCCCTCGCTCGCCGCCGATTGAGACGGGGCGGGGGTCAATGCAGACGGGGGTCAGCGAGGGCGCCGGATCTTGTAGGATCCTGCAAGGCCATGGCCGCATTGACCCAGGGTCAGCCCGCAGGATACAGAAGGATCCTGCGGGATCCTGCAGGATCCTGTAGAGGCCGACTGGCCCGTTTTTGCATGGATCCGGGTCAGTACATCCCCGACAGGCTTGAGACGACCAAGCTCACCTCCAAGTACCCGGTGGACGACATCAAGACCGCCGTGCGCAAGGCGCTGGGCACCATGTCTTGCGCCTAGCCTCGGCCGGGAAGGAAAGGGTCTTGAGGGAAACGGGTCCTAAAGGTTGCCTTCGCGTGCGGCCTCCCAGGCCCTTCCTGGGCTTCACAACCGTCAGAAAACGTCTTACTGTTGCCAATCTTATCATCATTGTTCAGGCTTCGCGGTGTCTTTGGATAGCACGTACCACAAGCATATTGCATCAGGGGTAGCTTTGTGAAGTTCTGTCCGCCACGCGAAACGAAACGAAACGAATTAGAAGCTCGTCCTGGGGCGAGGCTCCAGGGCCCAGGACCCGCTTGCCTCAGGACCCATTCCGTTCATGGTGCAGCCTCGGCCATAGGCCGTTGTTAGGCAGGCCCAGGACGTAGAAAGATCGCGCCAGGGCGTTCCGGAGCTAGCGGCCGCGGCGCACGACAGATCCCCAAGCCCACCACCTCCTTCTCATCCTTCCCCTCCCTCTCCTCCCCCTCCTCCTCCTCTTGATCCTCCTCCCCCTCCTCATCCTCCTTCTCCTCTTCAACCCTTTTTACTCAGAGATGAACTCGGCGCGACCCTAATTAGAGGAACGGATCCTGAAGCATGGGTGCATTGCTGGGCGTTGCTTTGCGTTGATTTTTTCGCATTACTTTGCAAGCCTTGGCGTTGCGTGGCACTTCTTGGCATCTCTTGGCATTGCTTGGCATTGATTGGCACTGCTTGGCATTGCGTAGCATGGCTTTGCATGGATTTGCATAGTTTTGCATTGCTTGGCGTTGCTACTTTGTAATGTCAGGGAACCCGAGGACCAACACCACAGGACGCGAGGAACCCAAGCAAGGAACAAGACCAGGGAACCGTCGGGAGGGCGGGCCAGGCGTTTCGCCAGAGACCCCTCACCATTTATGGTCATAAAGCTTGAAATCTGGAACAGCTTTCAGGATTGAGGACGGGTCTCCTTCAAAATATGGCTCTCGCCTTCGCGCCGCGCACATTTGTTTCAACACTTGCAACTGTATGGCGGATGTAGGGGGAACCGTTTTCAAAATGCGGCTTTTGCATCAGCGCTGCGCGCATCTGTGTTGCAAATTTGCAAACGGGTTACGGATGGAAGGGGGGGCCGTTTTCAAAATGCGGTTCTCGTTTCACCGTCGTGCACATTCGAATCACATTTTTGCATCATTCTCACGAATGGAGAGGGGTTCGTTTTCAAACTTTGGCTCTCGTCCAGCGCCTCGCCCAGCGCCTCGCCCAGCCCCGCCCGCACTCGCTTGAAACGTGTGCAACAGTTTCACGGATGGCGGGTCGATCCTTTTCAGAATGCAGCCCTCGCCTCGCCGCGCACATTCGTTTGCAACATTTGCAGCTGTTTCAGGCGTGGAGGGGGCGGGGGGCGTTTGAAACATGTGATTCTCGCATCAGCGCCGCGCACATTCGTCTTGTCCGTCTGCCGCAGCTTCACGTGTCGAGGGCGTTTTTTTGTGTGTGTTTTTTTTGGTTTCTCTCCAAAATGGGTCGTTCGATCTATCGCAGTGAATATTCGTTTCAAGATCCTGCAGCAGCTCCACGTACTGACGATTGGCCGTTTTCCAAAAAATGGGGTTCTCGCTTTAGCACCACACGCATTGTTAAACGCAGCGTGCAGTATGTTTTTTTGGTTCTAAAATGGAGTTCTCGCTTGAGGCATGCTTCGCTGCACGGATCCATTTTTCATGGTGTATATATGTGTGTGTATATATATATAAATATATCTGGAGCAGTCGCTTGAGACTTCCTTTGGGTTCATGACAAGAAGTGTACGCTTGTGAAGCAATTCCACGGCTGGGGGAAGGCCCTCTCTGACACACGACGAACACCCCAACTCTTTTCCGCGCGCTAAGCAGCTGCACCTGCAGCGAACGCTCTTGTGCCACCTCGACGTGCAGGGTCGGCACGACCTCCGCAGCCTGCGCCAGGGCGTGGGCGACGACGCGGCTCTGCGGCGTTTTGACGACCTCCACCACCCTGACTGCGACCACACCTGGCATTGGAACCTGTCCAAGCACAATTGCCCAGTGATGGACACCACCGACTTCGTCGAGGCTTTCCGCTTTCGCCTCGGCGCAGCAGGATATCTCGATCCCGTCCCCTGTGGCCTTCGCGGCGCTGCCCTCCTGGGCTGGGCTGGGTCGCTCGCGTTGTGGTGCAGCCGTGCGGGCGCCGCAGGGGGCACTCCGCACTGGCGCGACGGTTGTGCGACGCTGCCCAAATCTGCGACCCTGACGCCGAGCTCGAAGCCCCAGGCCTGGTGGCAACGACGCAGCTCCGACCAGCAGGCGTCCTCGCCGGCGCCCTGGGTGACGGCCTCCTGACCCTGGAAGTCGGCGTGGCCTCGCCCGACGCCGTGGTCGCGGGCCTGGACTGCGTGGTCACCATGCGCCGACGCAAAATCCATCATTTCTCCGCGCGCGCGTTCGCCTTGGCGCGGCAAAACATCGCGTGCGCGCCGCGGCTGGTCTCGCCGCCGAACGACAGCCATCTTCCGCACTTTCGCGACCGAGCGATCGCGGAGGCGCGGTGCCGGCTCCCTTCCGCCGCGATCGGCGCCGAACTCTAAGGCGCCGGGCCGCCACGCAGGTCCAGGCCAGCTGGCCAGGCCGTGACCCAGGCGCCACTTCGGGGCCTGAGCGGCCGCCCGTCTCCGCAGCTCGCCAGCCCCCCGTTTCTGCCCCCCGCGCGCGCGCCTCATTGGCGGGGCCTGGTGGCCCGCGCTCTCCGGACTCCCTGTCCAAAAGGGGGGCTTCCGAAGCTGCCCCCGTCCACCGTTGTGCTGGGATTTTTCAGCTGGGGGTTCCTGGCTAGGGGGGGGGGCTTGCTTCGAAGCTGCCTCCCTCCCTCCTTATTCGGGGCCCAGGGTCAGCCTGGGTTCCCCTTTCCACAGAGGTGTGGTGGGTTTCCGAAGCCACCCCCTCCTTTTGTCCAGCTGAGGGGGCCCTGGCTGAAGGGGGGTGGCTGGCTTCGAAGCCACCCCGCCCTCTCTTTTTTCTTGGGCCGAGGGTCAGCCCGGCCTCTCCTTTGCAAAAGGAGGGTTTCAGAAGTGACTTCTGCCGCCCCCCTTTGAATCTTGGGGTGTTAGGATTGAGGTTTTTGGGGTGTATCGTGTTCGGGTTCGGAGTTCTAGGGATAGGGTGTTACGGCGCTCCATCGGTTTTCGGTGCCTCGTTGGTTTTCGGCGCCGTTTTGGTTTTCGCGCTCCCTCTTAGTTTTTCGGCGCTTTGGTTTTCGGTGTCCCTTTTATTTCGGGTGCCCTTTCGGTTTTTGGCGTTCCCTTGGTTTTCGGCGCCCTTGTGGTTCTCGGCGCCACCTTTGGTGTTCGATGCTCGTTTGGTTTTTGTCGACCTCATCATTTTCCTTGCCCCTTTGGTTTTCGGCGCCCTGTTGAGTTTCGGCGCACCCTTTGGTTTTCGGGTCCCGTCTGGTTTTCGGCGCGATCTCGGTTCCTGGCTTTTCGGCGCGCCTATGGTTTTCGGCGCGCCTCTTGGCGTTGGGCGCCCCTTTGGCTTTCGGCCCCCATTTGGTTTTCTGGGCCCCTTTGGATGTCGACGCCCCTTTGGTTTTTGGCGCCCTTTTTGTGTTTGGTGCACTTTTGGCTTTCAGCGCCCCCGTGGTTTTCGGCGCCCCCTCGGTTTTTCGGCGCTCCGTTGGTTTTGGGCGCCCTCTTGGCTTTCGTTTTTTTTTTTTTGGTTGTCGGCGCCCCTTCGGTTATCGGCGCCATTACAATTTTCGGTGACCCTTCGGTTATCGGCGACCCTCTAGTTTTCCGCGCCCCGCTGGGTTTCGGCTCCCTTTGGTTTTCGGCACCCTTTTGGTTGTCGGCGCGCCTTTGGTTTTCGGCGCCCCTGTGGTGTTCGGCGCCCTTTTTGGTTTTCGGCGCCCCTTTCGTCGCCCTTGCGGTTTTCGGCGCCTGTTTGTTGGATTTCGGCGGCCTTTCGTTTTTCGGCCCTGTTTGGTTGTCGACGCCCCTTGGGTTTTTCGACGTCCGTTCGGTTTTCGGCGCCTTTTTTGGTTGTCGGCGCCCCGTTGATTTTCGGCGTTCTTTTGGTTTTCGGCGCTTGTTTGATTTCCAGCGCGGCGCCCCTTTGGTTGTCGTCGCCATTTGGTTTTTCGGTGTCGTTCCGGTTTTTAACGTCCCGTTGGTTTTTCGAGGCCCTGTTGGTTTTCGGCGCGCTTTTTCTGATCGGTGCTTCTTCGGGTTTTGGGGCCCTTTTGGTTCTCGGCGCCCCTGTGGTCTTCGTCGCCCTTTTGGTTTTTAGCGCCCTTGGCGCCCCTTTGGTTTTCTGTGCACTTTTGGTGTTCGGCGCTCCTTTGGTTCTCGGGGCCTTTGTGTTTTGGGGGGGCCATTCAGTTGTCGACTCGCCGTTGGTTTTCGGCGCCCCTTTGGTTTTCGACGCCCCTGTGGTTTTCAGCGGCCTTTTGTTTTTATGTTTTTCGGCGCCTCTTTGGCGTTCGGCGATCCTTCGGTTTTTGGCGCCTTCTTGGTTTTTGTGGTTTTCGGCGCCCCTTTTGGTTTTCGGCGCTCATGTGGTTTGCGTCGCCCTTTTTGTTTTCGGTGCCCGCTTGGTTTTCGGCGCACCTTTGATGTTCGGCGCCCTGTTCGGTTTTGGGCGTGCCGTTTGATTTCGGCGCCCCTTTGGATTTCGGCGCCCTGTTGGTTTTCGGCGCCCTTTTGGTTTTCTGTCCTCTTTCGTTGTTTGCGACGCCCCTTTTGGTTTTCAGCTCCCCGTTGGTTTTCGGCGTCCCTATTGGTGTTCGGCGCCTCTTTGGTTTTCGGTGCCCCTTCGGCTCTCGGTGTCGCTTTGCCTTTCAACGCCCCTTTAGTTTTCGGCGCCCCTTTGGTTTTCGGTTCCTTTTTGGTGTTCGACGTCCTTTTTGTTTTCGGCGCCCTTTTCGTTGGTGGCGCCCGTCTGGTTTTCGCGCCCCTTTGATTTTTCGGCGCCCATGTCTTTTTCGTTGCCCTGTTGGTTTTCGTTGCCCGTTTGGTTTTTGGCTCATTTTTGGCTTAGAGTGTTAGTATTCGTGTGCCAGGCTTGCGGTGTTAGGCTTATCGTTAACGTGTTCGCGGAAGGGTGCGAGGGTTCGGGTTGAGGTTCGGGTGTTTGGGTTTTAGGGTCAGTGTGTTAGGGTTGGGGCGGTGGGGTGTTAGGATGTGAGGGTTGGGGTGTTCGGATCCGAGCGTGATGGTTAAGGCTCGGGTTCCCGGTGGGGAGGGGGGGGGCTGCTTCCATGGCCTGGGCAGCGAGGGGGGGGGCTTCTTAGCTTCCTTCCTTGAGCAAAAAAGGGGGGGGAGGGGCCTCTAGCACGGGGGGTCTAAATGGATGGGGGGGGGGAGAGCTGCCCCCCCCTTCTTGGAAAAAGGGAGGGGGGGGGGGATGGCGGGCAGTTTCTGGGGCGCGAAAAGGAGGGGGGGGGGCTAGCTTCCGCGGCGCGGACAGAAAAAGGGAAAGTGGGGGGGGGGTCGGGCGGGTGGAACAAATAGGAATGGAGGGCGGGAGGGCTTCGGGCAGGGGAGGTCCACGGGGTGGGTGAATAGCTACGGCCCCCTCCCCCTTTGCTCTGGCCCTGCGGGTGCGCGCGCTCCCTCTCTCTCTCTCTTTCTCTCTCTCTCTCTCTCATTTTTTTTTTTTTTTTTTTTTTTTTTTTTTTTTTTTTTTTTTTTTTCTCTCTCTCTCTCTCTCTTTCTCTCTCTCTCTCTTGTCTCTTGACCAGTTGAGATTGTTGGGCAAGTCTGGCTAGGCCTGGAACTGCCTCCCAATATGCGAGAAACAAGTATTTAATCGATTGGGTTGAACAATTAGCGCCTCCTGGTCATGCATGAGTGTGTTCGGATCCGGGTGTTCGGCTTGCTGCGTTATGGTCAGCCTTGCGATGTTCGGCTTAGTGTGGTAGGATGCGTGTGTTAATGTTTGGGTGTGCAGGGTTGCGGTGTTCAGGTCAGGGTGAGGGTGCTATCGTTAGGGTGTCATCGTTCGGGTGTTGGGGTTGGGCTGTTAGGGTTGGGGGTTTGGGGTGTTCGGGGTGGTGTGTTAGAGTTCGCGTTCCAGGGTTCGGGTTAGGGTGCTAGGTTTAGGGTGTTAGGGTTAGGGTGTTCTGTTTCGGGTGTTTGGGTTCGGATGCTCGGGTTCGGGGGCTCGGGTTAGGGTGAGAGAGTGAAAGGTTAAGGTGTTACGGGCAGTGTAGGGGTGCTCGGGTTAATGTCTGTTAGGGTTAAGGTGAAGGTCTTAGGTTTCGGGCTCGGTTGTTCGGGGTAGGGCTAGGATGCTGGTGTCATGTTTTGGGTGTTATGGTTCGGGTGTTCGGCTTCCAATCTTAGTGTTATGGTTCAGGTGTCAGTGTTAGGCTGTTAGGGGTAGGGTTGGGTTTAGGGGGTTCTAGTTCTAGGCTTAAGGTGTTAGGGTTGGGGTGGTAGGGTGTTGGGATGCTAGGGTTAGGATGTTCGGGTTTGGGCATTCTGGTTAATGTTCGGGCTCCCCAGTAGGGGGATTGGTTCCGTGGCCCAGAAACCGATGGGCGGAGTCTCCAAGTTTTCCGTTGCTCGAAAAACGGGGGTGGGGGCTCCAAGGTTTTTCCCTTTAGCCGAAAGGAGGGAGCGGGAGGGGCTTCTGGCAACGGGTGTCCAAGGACCCCCCCTCTTTGGAAGGGGGGGAGGTTAGCTTCCGGAGCGCGAGAGGGGGAAGGAAAGGGGGGCGTTTGGCGGGGGGGTACACAGGGTGGAGTAGCTAAGCTCTTTCCCCCCTTTGGAAATGGGGGGAGGGGGGGTACTTTCCTGAACGCGAAAGAGGGAAACGGGGGGGTAGCTTCCCTGGGGCGGACAAAAATGGGGGGAATGGTAGTTAAAAGGGGCACCCCGTCCCGCCTTTGCTCTGGTCCTGTGTGCGCGCTCTCTCGTTCGTTCTCCGCTGTGCTACTTTTTTTTCGAAGGGGGCGCTTCTTCTTCGGAAAGGGAGATACGTGGGGCGTATGAGGAGGGCACTCGGGACGGGAGGGCGTATATGTGGCATACCTTGATCCTCCTCTTACATTTCCTTTCCTTATGAATAACTCCGCCCTGTCACACCCCGAGGCTGGTCGAGAAACCGGGCCTGGCGTTTCCTTTAAGATTTCCTCAGCAGTCATGACCGCGCACATTCGTTAAGCAACATTGCAAGTGCTTCACGGATTGAGGGCGGGTGGTTTTCACAATGTGGCTCTCGCCGTAGCGCCGCGCACAGTCGTTTTCAAAAATAGCAAATGATTCGCGGATTTAGGGCGGGCCGTTTTTCGCTTTAGTGCCGCGCATATTCGTTATAATCACTTGCAATCGTGTTCACGGGTTCGCATGGTTAGCGCACCATACATGGTGTTTTGGAACGATTCAGGATTGTCCAGGCGCAATTGTTACGCTTGTTCGCGGTGTGGAAGCCCCAGGACTGGTGTTTCGGCACTAGTCAGATCGTCACGCCACAACCGTAAAGTTGACTCGTGGCGTGGGAGTCCCGAGAGTGGTGTTTTGGCACGCTTCAGGATCTTCAACTGGTTTATCCCCCAGCGGGGCACTCTCCTGAATGGAAACGATTCCTTGTAGGGGCCTATGTTGAGTGAGCGTGGAGGGAGGGTTTATCCCCCTCCCCCTCCTCCTCCTCCTCTTCCTCCTTCTCCCCATCCCCACTCTCGTCATCCTCATACTCATCTCATCCTGCTGCCCCTCCTCAACCTTCCGATTATGTCCGATATGCCTCGATCCGGCTTTGCGTTCGCCCTGGCGTCGTCTTGGGCTAGCGGCCCCGCTCGTCGTCGTCGTCGTCGTCTTCGTCGTCGTTGTCGTCGTCGTCGTTGTCGTCGTCGTCGTCGTCGTCGTCGTCGTCCCCTCCGCAGGCCTCCGGGCGCGTCGCGGGCAGCGTCGCTCACCGGAGGGCAGACACGCATCCACCTCGCTCCACCCCCCGTGCGCCCCCCCAGGAGGAAGCCGTCGGGGGCCCAACCGTGTCCGCACTCGCCGGCCGGGGGCGTCCCAGGATCGGGCCCGACGAACGGGTCGGGGGCGGACTGAATTCTCCTTCTCCTCCTCCTCCTCCTCCTCCTCCCTCTCCTCCCCCCCTCCTCCTCCTTCTTCTCCGTATCCTCTTCAGATGCCCAGAAGAGTCGGGGGTGGACAGAACCCCCACCCTGGCACGTCGATTAGTGAATTGTCCGTTGTCGGTTTTCGAAGAGGGTGCCGCGGCCGTCGTTTTCCAGGCTGGCGCCCGCCAGGTTTGGGCCCGAGGTCGTTTTCACTGAGCCACGTTTTGCTAGAGGGGGTTCTGTCCATCCCTGGAGCAGGATCAAATGGGCGAGGGAAGAAAGCACGGTCGACCCCCGACATTCGCCCGTAAGCTGTCCGCGTAGAGTCGCGCGTAAGCTTTCTCTTCCCCACGCGATGTGCCGTGCTGGCGACCCTCGTAGGCCGCAGCGTAAGGTCGTTACGTCATCTCTCGCGTGAAGCCCATTTCTTCCCGTCGCTCGAATGAGCGATCCAGTTTGATGTCGCACTCCTTTTGCATTTTATTCAGGCCCGTCTCGAGCACCTCTCTCGCCGCTTTTCGATGTACCGAGCCGGGGGCGAGATGCAATATGAAAGCAACAGCTTCTGGATTGAATGGCTTCGGCAGTTTGTTCGCCGTCTTTTATTTGACCAGGATTTCTTACGAGTATTCCCATAGTGTTTGGCGTGCTGGATGTGATTGTCTTGATTCTATTCGGCAGTCATCGCGCATGCTATCTCGTTGTTCCCGTGGTGGGGCCAAAGCGGTGCATAGCTCACACAGCAAGTTTAGCATTTGTTTGGGTGTGTGCTGGATATCGGTGCACTGGTATATCCTTGATGTAGGAAACATGATGCCCACCTGCAACGTTAATAGCAGCCATGACTGGGCGAGGCCTCAACAACCACGTTTGCTAGATATGCATTGCGAGCCGCGGGCGACCTGACCAGCTCGGGAAGGGCTGCCGCGCAGAGTGCTGCCATGGCTCGGGTAGGCTGGGACAGCAATTCGGAGTCTTCTGCTGTTCCCACTGACGGCTAGTGTGTCATGGTGCGGCCCGCGTGGGCCGATCGGCCTCCGTGTCCGTCGCTCGTCTGAGCAGCCATGAACCAGCTGCTCCCTCGTCCCCTTGAGACGGTTGCGACGGCGGCGGCTGCGGCGACGGTAGCAACGGCGGCGGCTGCGAGGGCGGCGGCAGCGGCGACGCGGGCCCGAGCGAGCCCCAGGTCGAAGCTCTGAGCCCGCCGTTGTCGCAGTGGCGTGCGCCAGGCCGGGTCTGGGGGGTCCCTACCCCTTGGCGTGGCCGCCGCGCCTTCCCGTTCTGGGAGGTGTTCCTTGCTCTCCTTCCTTGCTGTTGTTCAGTCCTTTATCCCGTTGTCTTCTTCTCCACTCCTCTCTCCCCTGCCTGCTTCCCTCCCTCCCTGGTCCGTCTTCCCCTCTTCCCCTTTCCCTCCTTCGCGCCCCATGGTACCTGCTCTCTCCTGCCGGGTCCCACAGGACCTCGACAGCCCCCCCAGAGCCCCCGAGCCCCCCCAAAGACCACTTGAACCCCACGAAGGTTCACGAGGAAGATAAAGTATGATAAGCATACACTTTCGAATGTCCGCGCGGATTTCTTGGGTCGGTGCTGGGTCCTCAGGGAGCAGTTTCCAGCGAGGACACAAGAATGCACGTGCACCTACGAAGGTTATGTTCATGCAGTTTTTCTCAATCTACCGTCCCAAGTCCTTCATCGTCCCTCCTCGGTCTTCCATTTTGCATCCTTCAGTTCTATTGCCGCGGAATCTGCAAAGCCAGGTGCCGCCGGCAAGAGAGGTGCATAGCCACGCGTAGTGCGCTAGGGGAGGAATGGACGGAGGGGGACCATACGGTTATACAGTCAAGATGCCGAAGCAAGGACCACTTGGGGCGCAGGAGGGGCTCCGCTTTTCGGGCCGTCCTCGGATCGGTTTTATAGGTGGCCTAGGCTCGTCGTCACCAGAGAAGCCCCTTCGTTTTTCATTTGGTTTTCCACATGGCGGCACGGTGGCTGTTCCTCACGATGACCCGGCAGGGGGGACCCCCTATTTCCCTCACAGCGTTTCTCTTGGAGGTTCCAACCGTGGTAAAACCTCTTTCCCAACCAGTGCTTGCACTCAGGGGGTTTACCTATGGTCCAAGGAAAAGGGGCCTGGGTGTTGGTTCAGCGGCTATGCTCTCGCCGTCGCCGCCCCGTTGCCGCCTCGGCGCCCGTCGTCTGGGCCTGGGTGTCGGTCTGGCAGCTCCGTGGTCGCCATCGCCGCCCCGTCGCCGCCTCGTTGTCGACTCGCCGCACCCCATGATCTGGGTCTGGGTGTCGGTTGGGCAGCTCCGTGGTCGCCGTCGCTGCTTTGTCGCCGCCCGTCGTCTGGGCCTGGGTGCCGGTTTGGCGACCCCGTGGTCGCCGTCGCTGCCTCGTTTCCGCCCTGTCACCGCCCTGGATCTTGCACCACATATGTTCTCTGGTTTAAAGCAGTAATAGGATCTCCCCCCCCCGGACTTAACGGTTCTCTTTTTCGTATTGCAATTCACGTCTGATTCTGTCCCATCGTCCATCTGATGGATAAATTCGTACCATCCCAGGCAGGCCGGTATCGCCCCCCCTTAGCCTCTGCAGGAAGTGCTATGCGCGCACACTCGTTTATTAAACATCACCAGTTTCCGAAATCCCTTGCAACAAATGGGACGAAGTGCTCACGCGCGCGTCGTCGCGCGCGCATCAGGAAATCTTTCAAACACCTGCGGCTTCGTGTGGATTTCAAAACCGAGTGTCCCGAATAATATCACACATTATGGTCTCCCAAGTTCAGTTTTCAAAATGCCTGCGCTCGCGCTCTTGCGTATTCCTATGAAACCCGTTGGTATTAAATTTTGGAAAATGCTACCAAGCGTGCCTTTCGCGCGCATGTCGAAGTCGCTCGAACGCCCTTGCGCGCGTGCTGTCGCTCGAATCCCTTACAACAGGCGGGACGAGCTCCTCACGCGCGCGTCGTCGCGCGCGCATGCGGGCATCTTTCAAACACTTCAGTTTTCGTAGGGATTTCAAAATCGAGTATCCCAGAAAACATATAACAGCACATGGTTTTGCAACATCAGCACCAACATCAGCACTGGTGCTCCCGCGAAATCTTAAAAACAAAGACCACCGTTTTTTTGGGGGGGCGGGGGGCAACACGTTTGTTGAATTCGACCTAACGGGCCGGTCGCGCCGCGTGTCGACATCATTCGAACGCCCTTGCGCGCGTGCTGGGGGGGGGGGGGGGCGCGATTCGTGTCAAATAATACCATGCGAGCCACTCGCGCGTCGGCCGCGCGCGCATGTCGAACTCCTTCCACATACTCCCTCACTGACGCGCGGACGCCGTCAGCGTCGTCGGCGTGATCAGCTATGGCGCCGTCATTGGACATGCCGCCGTCGATACCATTATCGTCACCAGCATCGCCATTGCCATCGTCGTCTCTACCGTTGTCGACGTTGCCATGATACCGCGCCCGCACAAGTCGCCGACTCGCATTGAAGTGCCCGTTGGGAAGTGCCCAGCGGTCAGCGCCACCGCGGCCGCGTCGGTCACGCCAACCTAACTGGCCGCTGTGCGCGCAAGCATGCGCGGGCCAGCGCGGCCGCAGAGATGCTCCAGCTAACGCCAAACACTCATTGCAATCGCTGCCGCATGAGTTTGGCAAACCGAATTGCGGGGTGGGTGGGTGGGATGGTTACGCGAGCAGTGGGGTTGACAACCCCTGCGAACAGAAATTCGTTGCGCCGCTTAGGTATGAGAATGTATCCCCCCCGAAGTCAACGGCCCCCCTTCGCGTATTCCCATTTGCATAGGATCCTGCCCCATCTTCCATCTTGAGTAGGAGTTCGTACCATCTCAGGCAGGCCGATATCGCATCCTCCCACCCCTCATCTTCTGCAAGGAGTTCTGTGCGCGCGCACTCTTGTATCTTCAGTCATTAGTTTCCAAAAGTCCAATGCGTGGGTTCGACAAGCCAAATTACGAGTGGGTGTGTGGAATGGTTGCGGGATCCGTGGAATTGGTAATTTCATGTTCGGCAGCGTGAGCTGCGCCACTTATATTCTCTTTTCAAAAAAGGAAGCAGGACCCCCCCCTGTATCGATCTTTTTTTCCCCGTGTTGCAATTTATGTATGATTCTGCCCCATCATCCATCCTAAACATGAAACCCTACCATCCCAACCGAGCCAGTATCGACCCTCCCTGCCATCCTCTGCAACAAATGCCATTGCGCGCGCGTGCGTCCATACAACATCTTTAGTTTTCAATAACCTTTTGCACAACAACTGAGACGAAGTGCGCGCGCGCGTCGTTGCGCGCGCATGCCGAAATCCTTCCCGAACCCGTGGTTTCGGAAGGATTGCAAAACCGAGTGTCCAAAACACATATAAACAATACATGGTTTCGCAACGCGTACTTTCAACGCATGCGTGTGCGCGCGTTCTTGCGAATTCTCAAACAAGCCATCGGTTTTTCAAAATTTTCAAAAAATGCTACCACGTGGGCTTCGCGCGCGCATGTCGAAAGCGTTCGAGCGTCTCTGCGCGCGTGCCGTCGCGAGACAAGTGTTGGGTACCTGATTTTGAAGGTCTTCGTGCCGTGGGCGGTGGGCGAGTAGCTTCTGCAGGCCTTGCCGGAAAAAAGGGGGAATGGATAATGGTATTTGCACATCTTCCTCGCGCTGGCCTATTGAACATTCAACGCGAAGGTGCATTGGAAATGGTGCGATCAATTATTCCGCAACACCGTAAAGACTGGAACGCAGTGGTTGGAGTTGACGTGAAGGCAGGAGAGGGCCATCAAAGCGAAGAGGACAACCCAACGTGTAGCAGCATAAATGGTCTGGGAGGCAGGACAGACTGAGGCGACCAATTTCTAGCTTGAGCAACGTCTAACAATTTTTCCATTACGAACGTATACTTCAAGAAACGATTCGATGATATATGGGCGCGCCAGTTGTGGAGCGCTGGGGGGCGCAGGCAACTTGACGACGTCTTGATTGACGTGGCTTTACAACCATAATTACTCAATGCAGATATCGTTCCTCATATTGTTTATCGCTCAGACCATCGGGCGGCGTGGGCCAATTTTGGGAGAGTCCGGAAGAGAAGGATAATGTGGCCAAGCCCCAAAAGAGGAAACTATTGGACGCGCAGTATTGAAGAATGCAAGTGCCACGAAGCCCAGAGCATTGCGCTGCAGGATTGCCCAAACAATGAGACGGCAGTCGAGCAGGCAATATTGACAGCAGCAGCGGAAAGTGGCAGGGGAAAACGATGGAAAAAATGAAATCCAATAAGGCGACGACAAAATCAAGCCACTAAAAAAAGAAAGGGACGAGGCCATTACGAACGAAAAACGAATACACAAAACAATGCGTTTGAACAGGGAGCTGCGACAGCGTGCACGGGAGACGCAGAACGAAGTAATGGATGAGCTGATCGAGTGGGGGGCCGCCAACAAGCTACCGCAAATCCGGGAGTATTTCAAGAAAGACAGGCGCATTGCTGGCCTCAGAGACAGCATTGGTCACGCGCGAACTGACTCGAAGGGGATTGCATAGGTATTCGCTTCTTTTTAATCAATCTTTGTATGCAGCACCCTGCGAGGCCATGGCAGATACGCAACGTGGAATTAATATGTCGGCGCAAGAGCGACAAGAAGACATGGTAGTCTGCGTAAGAAAGTTGAGGCGCAAAAAGGCATGTACCGAGGATGGTCTCGTGGCAGAGATGCTGAAAGATGGAGGGCTTGGAATGGTTGATGCAATTTCGCACTTGTTTGCTGGTTTGCTGAATGGGGAAACGCGCGCTCCAGAGTCGTGGGGCGTGTCCAAAATCGTGGTATTATCAAATCTGAGAAGCCACTTTACCCCAAAAATGCATGACGATTGCCATCATCCCTGTTCTGAGCAAGCTATACAGCAGCGTGTTGCTGGAGAGGATGGGGTACATCCTAGCTAGCACCGAGATTCCTGAGGAAATGGGGTTCTGGAGTGGATACGGCTGTTGTGATTTGGTGCGCTGCTTGAGAGTGATCAGCGAAAAAGGGGCAGGCTGGGGGGAAACGGTATGGGCTGTATCAGTTGATCTGGACACGGCGTTCGACATAGCCATGCATGCGGCTGTTTTCACGGGGTTGCAAATCGTGGGTGTGCGCTAAGAAGAGATGTGCGCGAACCACGATTTGCACCGGTATCGACGTGCGTGCGTGCAGCTGGACCAGAACGCCCGCAGCAGGTACTTCGACATCGCGCGCGGCGCCAGGCAAGGCGATCCGATGTCACCAGCGCTCTTCGCAAACACAGTGCGCAACAGCATGGTCAAGCTTAAGGGAAAATGGGGGAAGAAGTCGTACGGATGCATCGTGGGGGGCAGCTGCTTGGAAGGATTCCGGATGGCGTGCGCCATGTTCGCGGGCGACGCAACCCTACATGCGAAATCCAGACGAGCAATTGCCAGGATGCTGGCGGAGATCTGGGAAGAATTGGCAAGCGTCAGCTTGAACTCAAACGCGCGCACATGCCGCGTGCAATGTTGGGGAGGTGTGCAGTCGCAGGTTAAAAAATCAAACTGGGGGGAGAGGAGTACCCTACGGCAGGCAGCGCGTCGGGAGTCAAGGTGTTGGAGCCTTGGTTAGAGTGCATGGAACTACGTCAATAGAGTCTGAGGCGCGGCTCCGGGCGGGATTGGCGAATAATTCCAGCTTGTCATATTTACTTACCAAGAAGAGAACATCCCAAGCAAAACGTTACAACTGTTGGATTCCATTGTATACGCGACAGTTCTTTGGTGCTCTGAATCATAGAAGTTGATTGTGGCCCAAAAGAGAAAACTCAGAAGCGTCCAGAGATCCATGTTGAGACGTATGATTGGGTTCGGGAAGGAGGCCAAATGAGGATTATATTTCATGGGCGCGAAGAGCGACGCGGGGGGCATATCAGAAGGCGCGACGTGCAGGCGTGCCATGCTGAACAGAAGCATTTTTACGTTACAAATGGAGGTGGGCTGGGAAAATTGCAAATCTGTCGCTGGAGAGATGGGCCAAAAAGACATGTGAATAGCGAAAGTATGAATTGTGGTCAAGACAATCTCGGGGAGCTCTGACATGCCGCGTCCGGTCGCGACCGGGGCGCTTCGTCCGATGGGAGGGCCATGCTGTTTGTTTTATTAAGGAGTCGCGGGCCGAAATTGCCATGCTGCCAGAGGTATGGCACAATTATGAAGTTGAGCTCGCGAACTGCATGTGGCGCTGTTTTCACGTTGTTCCCGTAACCCAGCCTTCCTGGAGGCCGGCGCGTTTGGCGCGCTTGCCGCCATTGCGTGGGTCGCCTCTGGGCGATGGCAGACTCGTCCGACTCGCTTATGCAATTCTGCCAAACGGGCCTCTGGGGCCGCATGCCGGCATCATTCGCACGCCCTTGCGCGCGTGCTGAGGGGGCCCGATTCGTGTCAAATCAAAGCATGCGGGCCAACTCTCGCGCGTCGGTCGGGCGCGCGTGTTGAATTCTTTCCAAAACCTTCATCACCGACGCGAGGACGCCGTCGTCGTCGTCGGCGTGATCAGCATCGGTGCCCGCACTAGCCGCGCGTTCGTCGGTGTGAACATCGTCGCCAGCATCGCCACCATCAGCAACGCGCCCGCCCAAGTCGCCGAGTCGCAATGAAGTGCCCGCTGGGATGCGCCCAGCGGTCAGCGCCACCGCGGCCGCGTCGGTGGCGCCAAACTAGCTGGCTGCTGCGCGCGCGTGCCAGGGTTGGCGCGGCCGCAAAGATGCACCAGCCAACGCCAAGCATGCATCGCAATCGCCACCGCATTGTTTTTGCAAACCAAATTGCGGGTGGGTGGGTGGGATGGTTGCAATAACATGGTATATGTCAAGTCATGGTGCAAAAAAATTGCACCACATAAGTTGCTTAACGTAGATGGTACGACACAGATTACGCCTCAGATGATACACCACGTGTATTGTACCACGTAGAGTGTACAACATCGATTGCACCACATGGGTCGCACCACGTAGATCGCATCTCGTAGATCGCACAAAATACAGTGCACCACGCATATCGCACCGCATGGATGTACCACATATGTTGCAGCACGTATATTGCACAACATAGATAGCACCACATATATTCGATAACGCAACATCGATTGATCACCTCCCTGAGCTTCTCCTGAGCGTTCATCGGCATTATTTCCGCCTCGTCCATTTCATTCCTCAAGCTGTCAACCTGGTCCGTAGTGGGTGCATGATGGCCCGTTGCGTTGCTTCGGCCCATTCTGGCATTCCATTCGCTCGGGTGGTCAGAAAATCCTCGTTGTCCATCTTGCGCGCTTTGTGGGCACCCAGGCTGCAAATGGTTTCTTTTGCTTCACTTGCCTGCCCGCCATACAAGAACATACAAACAGGGATAACCTGTGTCTCGCGAGCATGCTCGAGCCCTGTCATGAGCCGACAACTAGCACCCGCGCCCATGAGACTCCCAGGTTGCTCGGGGTGGATTTCCGCCCCGGCCAGACATGTGTGAGTCGGATGGGGGTCCCCGCTCGGATGGGCCCCCCCTTGGGGATCGACGGCCCGCACCCACACCTGCAGCGCCCTCGCGCTTTGCCCTCCCGCCTCTCCCCATGCAGGCCCGAGAGCGTGCAATTCGTTCCACACCCCGAGGCCCTCCTTCGAGTAGGGGATCGGCCGCAGAATTTCGTTGCCCCAGCAGTGACTTTCTCGTCGATTCCATGACTCATGCGTAGGGGGTTTGTAAATATACTTGGCAGTATGCATGTATGTATCTATTTATGTATACATGTTATGTCTATATGTATGTATGTATGTATGTATGTATGTATGTATGTATGTATGTATGTATGCATGCATGCATGTATGTATGTATGTGTTGATCAAGGCACATACATGAAAATACTGAGGGCATGGCAGATATGAGGGCAGCGCAGATCGTGCATGTCTGGCGATGTGTTCTTCCGCATGGAGTTTTCATATGCAGATCTCCGCCCCGCGTGGAGAAGGGGTTGTGTGTTCTCACCGAGTCTGCGAAGAAAGTGATAACCTCCGTGGGTCAGAGAAGGTTCTGCGCTTTTGTCGTGGATTCGGCGAAACAGTAATGAAGGATTGCAAAGAAACCCGAAGGATTGCAAAACAACCCGAAGGATTGCAAAAAAAACCCTTCGAGAGTTTGCAAACAAACCCTTCGAGATACAGCAATTCTGTAGCCGATCTTCTATTCGACTCCTCCCCCCGCGCTTCCTCGCCGCCCTCGGCGCTCCTCGGCCCCCCGCGGCCCCCTGCTCGGCCAGGGGGCAGAAGTCAAGACAGGGCTGGAGACGAGACAGCAAACAAACTGCCGAAGGACCACACGTGCTGCACTCGGCCTTCGCTTTGCGCCCTCCGCCGCGACTTCCCCCGCCGCTCCGCGGGCCCCCTCGCCCTCTGCTCTGCGTGGTGTTGGCCTGCAGACTCCGCCGCCCTGGCCCGTGGGCCCTCCAGGAGGGACCTGCCCCGCGGTGCGGAAGAGATCCCGTCGCGGATACTGGCGGTGCCCTCCTTGCGCGCAGAAACGGAGGAGGATGAGGGAGGGAAGGAGGAGGGAGGGAGGGAGGGGGGGGGGGAGGGAGGAGGGAGGGGGAGGGAGGGAGGGGGAGGGAGGGGAGGGAGGGAGGGAGGGAGGGAGGAGGAAGAGGAGGAGGAGGAGGAGGAGGAGGAGGAGGAGGAGGAGGAGGAGGAGGGCCTGGGACCAACGGGCCATGGTCGTGACATTGGGGCCAACGGGACGTCGTCGTGTGTCGATGGGGAGATGGCCTTGGGGGCATTTGGGCTGTAGGAGATGGGGAGATGGCCTTGGGGGCATTTGGGCTGTAGGAGAATGGCCCAAAAACCATGGGTGCATAGGGCCACGCGCACGGCTGCGCCAGCAACCATGTAGAGCGCAGGGATTGGGCCGGTGGCTTATGGTCACTGGCCTGCGGGGTTAGGGCCGTGAAGCTGCAGGTCCACTGGGGTCATCGGGCAACGGGGACGTCGCCACGGGGCCATGGGATCACATTCCAACTGCGCAGCCCTCTCCTCGTCTTCTCCTCCGCCCCCTCCTGGGCGCGATTCCACGTGAGGAGGTGGTGACCCCCCCCCCCCTCAGTGGTGACTCTCCCTGGGCACTGCATGAAGCAGAGGAGGGATAAGGGGATAAGAGACGGTCGCCTCGGACGATGCCGTCTCTTCCGTTCCACGCCTCACGAGTCGATGGATCTAAGCAAAGCTGACGCGCGTATAGCCGTCCACTCTCCTTGTTCCAATTTGAAGGTTTGTCAACCTTCCTTCCTCCCTTCCTTCCCTTCCTCCTCCTCCTCCTCCTCCTGCTCCCTCCTCCCTCCTCCCTCCTCCCTCCTCCCTCCCTCCCTCCCTCCCTTCCTCCCTTCCTCCTCCTCCTCCCTCCTCCTCCCTCCTCCTCCTCCTCCTCCTCCTCCTCCTCTCCTCCTCCTCCTCCTCTTCCTCCCGCCCCCCTCCCTCCCTCCCTTCCTCCCTCCCTCCCTCCCTCCCTCCCTCCCCCCCCTCCTCCTCCCTCCCTCCCCTCCCTCCCTCCCTCCCTCCCTCCTCCCTCCTCCTTCCCTCCCCCCCTCCCTCCATCTCGTCCGCGCCACGGGGCGTCCCCACTGAGAGGCGCGCTGCTCCTGGCCGCCCCCCTTCCGCTCCTCTGCCCTCCCTCCCCCCTGGGGCGGGCGGCGGGCGAGCCGCCCTGACCTGGCCCCTCGGCGGGCTTCCCTGGAAGACTCTCCCGCCTTCCTCGGCGGCGGGCGGAAGGAGGCCTGCCCCGATAGCGGCGAGTCGTCGATTCGACGACTCGCCCATCCGTCGATTCGTCGATTCGTTGAGGCTCCATCGATTCGTCGGTTCGAGGATCCGACGACTCGAGGGGGGAGTGAGAAGAAGAGGGCCCTCTCGGAGAGCGCCCGGGCTTCTCAGAGGCCCTCCGGCCTTCCGAGGGGTCTTCTGCGTCTGCGGCGAAGGCCCTGAGAGGAGTAGGAGAAGGAGGAGGAGGAGGAGGAGGAGGAGGAGGAGGAGGAGGAGGAGGAGGAGGAGGAGGAGGAGGACGAGGTGGAGGAGGAGGAGGAGGAGGAGGAGGAGGAGGAGGAGGAGGAGGGGGAGATGACAGGGATGTCTTGGTCCGCGGCCCATCTGGCTCCAGCGGACGCATCCGAGCCGGCTTCTCTGCGTCCTCCCCCCCTCCTGCTTCCTCCATCCCCCCGGGGCGCTCCATGGGTTGGCTGCGCCGCGGCACTGCCCTGGTCAGCCTCTGCTGGAGCTCCTGCAGATGCCAGGACGACCTCTTCCACGAGGAGGGCCGCGACGGCAAGCTGGAAATGCAGGTGCTGCTAGAAGTGTCCCTGGCCCTGGGCGGCCCCAGGATTTCCAGTGAGGCCCACACTCGGTGGCCACATGCGAACCCATGCCCCGCCACCCCACGATTTCTAATGGGGACGGTGCGGTTCACTTCGCTCGGGAGGTCCCGAATGAAGTGAACCCCACCTCGCCCCTTAGAACTCGTGGGGTGGTGGGGTAGGGTTCGCATGTGGCCTCCTACCCACGGCCTCCAGGGCACCCCCCCCCGTGAGGCCCAGGGGGCCCCAGGGGCTCCCAACTGGAGCGAAGAGCTGGACAGGCCTTGGACCAGGGACACCTGCAGCAGCCCCCGATAAATGTCGCTGCGCGAGCGGTACGAGTACTGGGACAGCATCCGGTCGCGTTGCCGCTCGAAGCCGCCGCGCTCGGGCGGGCGCCGTGGGGAGGGCGAGGGTCAGACGTTCATTTGGGGGGACCGCCTGGGACCCACCCAAACAGATCTGTTCGGGTCCAGTTCGATTCTAGCTCGACTCTAGCTCGACCCAAGTTCGACTCGGTTTCGACTCCAGTCGACGGGCGTTCGACGCATCATCGACGCATGAGCGGAGCGAGTGGCTCCAAGGCCCCCAGAACCAGCATCGGACGAGCGCGGGGGCCAGGAGGGGGGCGGGGTGGGCCCCTGCGGCGGGCAGGTGCCATGGAGGTGCTGCCCCAAGCTGAGTTTTCGGCGCCAGCTCTTGATCGGAGGGTGCCGGCGCGGGGACTTCGTGAAGCAGTGAACGCGTGTTGGGCTCGATGCGTCGGGGTCCCTACCCACTGTTTCGCAAGACTCAGGAGGGAACAAAAAACACACAGACACAATGAATATTCGATTCCGCGGGAAATACGGGGAAACATGGGCAGTGGGGGGGAAGACGAAAACCCTGAACATATGGGAAACTATGGGGAATTCTGGTTATTTGTGTCTATTTATTTGTGTGTCCCAGTTCCCCTTCAAAGACGCGGTACCAGCGAACGGGCAAGCGCCCGACACACACCACACACACAGCACAACACACAGAACGCACACACACAAGCACCAACCGCTGCGTGCGCGGTGGCGGGCATATGCAGACCCCCGGTCTGCCGACGGAAAGGACTGGTATGGAACTTGGGCCCAGTTCAGGAAGGACGTGGCCGGGGGGCCATTCAAGGCCTCCGACCGCTTCCTCGTGGTCGGCTGCGGGAGCAGCAGCGTGCCCGCGGACCTTGTGGCAGACGGGTTCGTCGACGTCACCGGCATGGACTACAGCGAGAAGGCCATCGCGCTGCAGAAGCGGCGGTTCCCTGGGATTAATTGGGTGCGCGCAGACGCCAGGAGCATGCCTGAGTTCGCGAACTCCTCCTTCGACGTCCTGATCGAGAAGGCCCTGATGGACGGAGAAGGGGCCTGGAAGCAGTGGCCGCAGATGCTGTCCGAGTACTCGAGAGTGCTCAGATACGGCGGGCGCTTCATCTCGATCAGCCTGGGGCAGCCCGACGAGCTGGACTCGGAGGCGCTCGGGCGCCCGCAAAACGGGTGCATTGGCACTGCAGCTGGAGGCCAGACTATTCTCCGTGCCTTGTGTGGGAGCTCGTTCTTTTGACCAATCGGCGTCCGCAGTCTTGTGTTTGCTAGATTTGGCCAAATATAGTTGGATTTGCTCTGGCCTGGTCGGATTGAGTGTGATTTAGTCAGAGGTAGTTTGGCTGAGTCTGAAAGTGTAATGTAGAGAGCAGGGGGTAGACAGTACAGAGTAGATGCTGGGCGTGGTGCTGAAACAATGCACGTCATCATTACATAAAACTGCCCATGGCAACCGTTACACATTACACATGGAACTTATGCATAGATGTCCCCCACCATCTGCCAATATTTTATTATATTTTTGACGATGCCTTTTTCTGTTCAAGAGGCTTACATACGCCATTCCGCTACCCCTCACGGGTGGACGGGCGCTTGTAATTATTTCAGCTTCCCGTATCCCGAGCAGCCCATCCAGAAACAATGCTTAGACGAAGAGTCGGGAGACGGGATGTAAGTAAGCATGGAATGAAAGGAAGAGGACACCAATGCTGAATTTATAGACCCTCGCGGAGCCTTTTGGGAGGTCTCTTGGGGCCCATTTTGGAGCTTTGGAGGAACTCCTGTTTTTTTGGGGGCCTCTTGGTGGCCGCGAGGGCCCTCTTGGAGCCATCCTGCAGGCCATCGATCCAACCAGGGGCATGGGGGGGCCCTGAATTAGGGCTTCCCGCTTAGAGGCTGACAGTCAATCTCCAGGCGTGCCCTCTTGGAGCCCTCGCGGGCCTCCTTTGTTGCACTATTGGGCGATCTTGCAGTTTTGCACGGCCTCAGAAGCCAGACGGAAGCGAGACGCGACAAACCAAGAATGATATAGTTAGCCTGGCGATGGACCAGACCTTGTGCAGCTGCGAGTGACGAAGGGACGTGACACTCTGCTCCTGGGCAACGCGGCGAAAGTGATGAAGCCGCGGGAAGTGCGGGTGGGGGCCGCGAGGCGTGTCCGGGGTTCGCCGAACCGAGGCCAAGGCGCCACGCGATCGCGCCCACGAGGACCGTGGGCGGAGCTCCCCATGTGGCCACGAAGCTCACCGCCCACCAAACCACCCCAACCCAGCCCGAAGGCCCCGATTCGCCCTCCATTTCCAGTGGGGGGTGGGCGGTCGGGGAACAGTGAACAAAGCACATATGTGGAGCCCGTACCCCCCCCCACCCGAAATTCGGGTCTTCGGGTTGGGTTGGGGTGGTCTGGCAGGTCGTCAGGAGCGTGTTGGAGATGTGCCTCGACATGGGCAGGGCGACGCCGTTGGGACCCTGTCGCTGCGGCCCTCGGGTGGTGCTTCCTATGGGGCCACGGGCCGCGAGGGGCGTGCGTGCCGAACGTGGCGGGGCGATGCTGTGCGGCCATCTTCGCCGGGGCCTCCCGGTGTAGCTCCCCGCGGGGCCACGGAGCGTGCGGAGGGCGTGTCGGAAAAGGGATGGGGCGATGCCGTGCGGACCTCTCCGCGGGGGTCTCGGGTGGGACTCCCCTATGGCGCCGCGGAGCGCGTGAGGGGTGTGCCGAAACGGGCGGTGGGGCCGCCGCGCGAGCTTTGCCATGCGGGCATTGGGTGGGACTCCTCGTGGGGCCACGTACCGTGTGACGGGGGTGCCGAACAAGGCGGGGTGACGCAACGCGAGCTTTTTGCCATTTCTCCAAATGCTTCGTGGGGTTCTGGTTTTCTTCCCATCCGCGTCGCACCCGCGTTTCTCACCCTCCTTCTCATCTTCCTTCTCTCCTCCGACTTCTTTCCCGCGTGCTTAGTGTTGTTGTGGTGTTCTAGTTTTCGTCCCACCCGCGTCCCACCCGAGACACTTACACACCACATCTCCCCTCTTCCTTCCTCCTCGCAGCCGCACGCACAAAGGTGTGCTGGGGGTGCGGTCGCTAGCCGATGCGGGCTCGCAAAGCGTGGCGGTCGTGGCACCTTCTCGATTCTTCAGGGGGTGCGCTTCGGGTGCGGTCTCCATGCGTTGCAGGCTCGCAGGGCACGGCAGGCCTGGCACTTTCTCCACACCAGAAGGGGGTGCACGGGGTGTGTGGTGTCTATGTGCTGCAGGCGCGCATGGCACGGCAGGCGTGGCGCTTTCTCGACACCAGAAGGGGGTGCGCAGGGGTGCGGCCTCCTATTCATTGCAGGCTCGCAGGGCACGGCGGGCGTAGCACTGTGTCGACGCCAGAGGGTGTGTGCATGGGGGTGCGGTCTCTGTGCGTTGCAGGTGCGCAGGGTACGGCGGGCGTAGCGCTTTTTCCACACCAGAGGGTGTGCGAAGGGGGGGGCGGTCTCTGTCCGTGTCAGGCTCGCAGGGCAGGGCAGGCGTGGCATCTTCTCGATTCCAGAAGGGTTGCACAGTAGGTGCAGTCTCTGTGCGCTGCAGGCACGCAAGGCACGGCAGGCGTGGCACTTTCTCGACCATAGAGGGTGTGCGCATGGTGTACGGTCTCTATCCGTTGCAGGCTCGCATGGCGCGGCAGGCGTGGCCTTTTCTCGACGCCAGGATGATGATGATGATGATGATGATGATGATGATGATGATGATGATGATGATGATGATGATGATGATGATGATGATGCTGGTGACGATGATGATGCTTCTGATGATGACGATGATGATGACGATGATGATGCTGATGGTGATGGCGGTGGTGATGGTGATGATGGTGATGGTGATGGTTGATGGTGATGATGATGAGGTGATTGCTGCTGCTGCTGATGATGATGACGATGACGAGACGATGATGATGATGATGAGGACGATGATGATGATGATGATGATGCTGAATGATGATGATGATGATGATGAATCTGATGATGATTATGATGATGATGATGATGACTGATGATGATGCTAATGATGATGATGGTGATGATGATGATGATATGATGATGATGATTGCTGGTGATGATGATGCTGCTGCTGCTGGATGATGACGATGATGATGACTGATGATGCTGATGGTGATGGCGGTGGTGATGGTGATGATGGTGATGGTGATGGTGATGGTGATGATGATGACGATGAGGGTGATGATGCTGCTGCTGATGATGATGATGATGATGACGATGACGATGACGATGATGATGATGATGAGGACGATGATGATGATGATGCTGATGCTGATGATGATGCCGCTGATGATGGGGATGCTGACGATGATGGATGATGATGATGATGATGATGATGATGATGATGATGATGATGATGATGATGATGATGATGATGATGATGATGATGATGCTGATGATGATGATGCTGATGATGATGATGATGATGATGATGATGATGAGATGATGATGATGGATGAGGATGAGGATGAGGATCAGGATGAGGATGTGGATGAGGAGGAGGAGGAGGAGGAGGAGGAGGAGGAGGAGGAGGAGACGGAGGAGGAGGAGGCGGAGGAGGAGTAGGAGTAGGAGGAAAGGGGGTGGTCACAACCCTCCCAGACGGGCATTTTTGGAAGCCCCCAGGGAAGCTATGAAAGGGCGGCCTTTTGCCCAGACCCCCCTGGAACTCATCAAGACAGCTCAAATCAGACCCTCAAATCAGACCCTTCTTTTTCAGTCATGGAATCTGGGGGGCCTGCTGCGTATGCGCAGGCGTTCTTCGCGAACGACACGTACGGCTGGGACGTTCGACACGCCCTCAGCTACGACGACTACTACGTGTACACCATGACAAAGCGGAGGCTGCCTGCCGCTGCGTCTGAGTCTGAGTGTGATGCTTCCGCAGTCGGTGCTACTACTGATCACCGCGCTCGTTCCACTACTCGCAAATTACCTACTCGCAAATGTCCGAACAATAACACATTTCTGCATCGATGAAATGGATCGTCAATCCCCCATGGCGGATCCAGGTCATTTGCGAGCAGTTACTTCGCGAGTAGTGGAGCGCGCCTGTCTGACTGAAGGGGCCCCTGGCGGGGATCGACCGACTACGCGAGCATGCCGAGCCAACCCCGGCGGGGGCCCCGGCGAAAGAGCCGGGCCGACGTTTCGTGGGCGGCCGGCCCCCTGGGGGATCCCAGCTTTGGGCTCCGGGCTGGGCTCTGTGAGCGACTGGGCGCCCAGGCTCCCGGGCTCCTGGTGCGGGGTCCTGGGCTCCTGGTTCGGTTCGTTTCGCTTCGATGTTTTTCCCAACCATCCTGTGGTTGGGTCCTCGTTTTGAAGAGACGGTGCCCCGCGTTCCTTTCCTCTCCTCCTCCTCCCCTCCCCCCGCTACCGTCCACATGCGTCCCCCCCACCCAGTACAGCGATTCGTGGCCCCAGGGGGAGCTCCACCGAAGGCCCCAGTGCCACCGTCCACATGCGTCCCCCCCACTCAGTACAGCGTTTCGTGGCCCCATAGGGAGCTCCACCGAAGGCCCCAGTGCCACCATCCACATGCGTCCCCCCCACTCAGTACAGAGTTTCGTGGCCCCATAGGGAGCTCCACCGAAGGTCACAGTGCCACCGTCCACATGCGTCCCCCCCTCTCAGTACAGCGTTTCGTGGCCCCATAGGGAGCTCTACCGAAGGCTCCAATGCCACTGTCCACAAACGTCCCCCCCACTCAGTACAGCGTTTCGTGGCCCCATAGGGAGCTCCACCGAAGGCCCCAGTGCCACCGTCCACATGCGTCCCCAGCGTTTCGTGGCCCATAGGGAGCTCCACCGAAGGCCCCAGTGCCACCGTCCACATGCGTCCCCCCCACTCAGTACAGCGTTGCGTGGCCCCAAATGGAGCTCCACCGAAGGCCCCAGTGCCACCGTCCAATTGCGCCCCCCCCACTCAGTTCAGCGTTTCGTGGCCCCAGAGGTAGCTCCACCGAAGGCCCCAGTGCCACCGTCCACATGCGTCTCCCTCACTCAGTACAGTGTTTCGTGGCCCCATATGGAGCTCCACCGAAGGCTCCAGTGCCACCGTCCACATGCGTCCCCCCCACTCAGTACAGCGTTTCGTGGCCCCATAGGGAGCCCCACCGAAGGTCACAGTGCTACCGTCCGCATGCGTCCTCCCACTCAGTACAGCGTGTCGTGGCCACATAGGGAGCTCCACCGAAGCCCCCAGTGTGACCGTCCGAGTGCGTCCTGAAACACCCAATTTGGCATTTTCACCCACCTATCACAGCGTTTCGTGGCCCCACAGGGAGCTCCACCGAAGGCCCCAGTGGGACCCTCCGCAAGCGTCCCGAAACACCCATTGTGGCATTTTCACCCACGCAGTCCAGAATTTCGTGGCCCCGTAGGGAACTCCACCGAAGGCCCCAGTGCCACCGTCCGCATGCGTCCCGAAAACCCAACGTGACATAGCGTTTCGTGGCCCCTTAGTCAGCTCCACGGAAGCCCCCAGTGGGACCGTCCGCATGCGTCCCGGAAGCCCAGTTTGGCATTTTCACCCACCCAGTACAGCGTTTCGTGGCCCATAGGGAGTTCCACCGAAGCCTCCAGTGGGACCGTCCGCATGCGTCCTGGAAGCCCAATTTGGCATTTTTACTTGCCCAGTACAGCGTTTCGTGGCCCCATAGGGAGCTCCACCGAAGCCCCCAGTGGGACCGTCCGCATGCGTCCCGGAAGCCTTAACAGCGTTCCCCCCCACCCAGTGCAGCGCTTCGTGGCCCCATAGGGACTTTCACCGAAGAGTTTTTTCACAATTGCGGTACCCACAACTGCATATGGTTGGATCCTTCGCCAGGATAATTTTGTTTGTCCCCTCTTCTTCTTTTTGTTCTTCTTCGCCTTCTTCTTATTCGCATTATTATGATTAGTCTTCTTCTTCTTCTTCTTATACTTCTTGTTGTTACCAGTGGTACTTCTGTTATTTTTGATATGATTATTGTTATTATTATGGTTCTTATGATTATTTGTATCATCGTTTCTACTGCTACTATAAACATTGATGTCATTGTTATTGTTATTGCTTGTGTTATTGTTGTTGGTGCTATCATTATTATTATTTCCATTAATATTATGTTTATTTATATATTGTTATTATTATCATCATCATCATAATTATTATATTATTATTATTATTAATATCATTATCATTAATATTATTACTACTACTACTACTACTACTACTACTACTACTACTACTACTACTACTACTACTACTACTACTACTACTACTACTACTACTACTAGTATTATTATCATCGTCATTATTGTGACTTTTCTTAGTTGTAGCATCGTCATCATTATTATTATAATTATTCGGATTCTTATTCCCAATCAGAGCTTGCCTCTGTAGGGGTCCTAGCGGATTCATATGGTTAGGTCAGGTTTGCCTCCGATTTTCGCCGCACGCCCGGGTGCCCGGGTGCCCGGGGGTGCCCGGGGGGTGCCTGGGGGTGCCCGGGTGCCAGAGTGCCCGGGTGCCCGGTTGCCCGGGGGTGCCCGGGGGTGCCCGGGCGTGCCCGGGGTTGCCCGGGGGTGCCCGGGGGTGCCTTATAGCCCTATAGCCCAATAGCCCTATAGCCCTATAGCTCAATAGCCCTATAGCCCTATAGCCCCCTAGCCCTATAGCCCTGATTGGGTTTTTCCCCAGTATGATTTCTTTTATCATCATTATCATCATTATTATTAGTATTATCATTATTATTATTATTATTTCTTCTTCTTCTTCTTCTTCTTATTATTCTATTATTATAAGTCTTATTACCAATGTTATTATTATCATTTGTATTCTTATCATTATGTTTATTATTATGCTATTGCGCCATTATCGCACACATACATCTATATATATATATATATATTCCCCAATCAGAGCTTGCCTCTGTAGGGGTCCTAGCGGATTTATACGGTTAGGTTAGGTTTGCCGCCGATTTTCGCCGCACGCCCGGGTGCCCGGGTGCCCGGGTGCCCGGGGGTGCCCGGGTGCCCGGGTGCCTGGGTGCCCTGGTGCCCGGGCGTGCCCGGGGGTGCCCGGGTGCCCGCCCGGTAGCCATATAGTCTTATAACCCTAGAGCCTTATAGCTTTATAGCCCTGTAGCCCTACAGCCCTCTAGCCCTATAGCCCTATAACCTCAATAGCTTTATAACCCTATAGCCCTAATAGCTCCATCAATTTCTACCCTCATAACCCTATAACCATATAGCCCTATAGCCCTATGGCCCTATAGCCCTATAGCCCTCTAGCTTTCTAGCTCTCTAGCCCTCTAGCCCTATAGCCCTATAGCCTTATAGCCCTATAGCCCTGTAGCCCTCTAGCCCCATAGCCCTATATCATGAAACATATTATGATAGGTTTTTCTCTGGTATCATATACATATATAGATATATACAAGACGCGCGACGCCCCCGACCATCCCCCCCCTCTCCTCTCCCATAACGTTCCCCCCCTCAGTCAGGCTCCCCGCCTCCAACAACGTAACGCTGCCCCATAACGTGACGCTCCCCCATAAAGTAACGCTTCCAGTTCGGGGTCCTGGGCTCCCGGTTCTGTGTTAGCAATCAACTTTTCTCCCCAATCCTCGAGTTCCGCTTGAAAAGTTTGGCCTTTCACAAAGAGGGGGAGGGGGCTATTCGGACGCACCCCTATCGAGGATGGACGCCCCCCCCCCGTTGTCTATCCCAGGGTTGGGCCCCAGATTCCTGGTCCATTCGAACCCCCCCCCAAAGCCTGGGACCGGGGTCGACGTATCCCCTGTTATGTTCGCTTCGCTTCCTGGGTTCCCGAGGTCTTGGTTGAGGCCGAGTGCCCAGGCCGCGACCACGGTCCGAGAGAGTGTGGACCAGAGGGTAAGTGCGCAGAGTGGAGCAGTGGCTCCCCCTCCCTCCCCCCCTCTCTCCCCCCTCCCCCTCGCTCCTTCCCTGCCTGGGGACCTGCTCGAGAGCGGCCCCCTTGGGCCCCCAGGGGCGCCACCCCGACCAGCAACCTCGACCTGCGCCCGGCCACGGCGACAAGGGGGCCCCCCGATGCCACCCACCCCGGAAAGGCTGGAGGAGAGCGACCCTGCAAACTCTCGCGGCGTAAGACACCGCAGAGGGAGTTTGCTGGCAATTTTCGGGCTCTGGGTCCTCACCAGGCCCTGGGACCGCAAGACGACAACCAGTCAGGATGAGAAGCCAGCCCCTGGGAAGGGGTCAGTCCCCGTGGCCGAGGGAGCAGAAAAGCACAGAGCAGGGCAGGGAGGGAGGGAGTCTTGGAGGGAGGGAGGGAGGGGCCCCCTGGCGTCTCGCGTCCCCCCCAAAAAACACGACCTGCGGCTTCTGGCTGTTTTCTGCCTCCTTGCCAGGCGCCGTGGCCGTCGAAACACGGCTCAGGCTGGAAAGCCAGTCCATCGGAAGGGGTTCAGACTCTGGAGGGATGCGTCGTGAAACAACTCACGACGTCGGATGTGTCGTAGTCGCGACGGCGACTGCGACAAAGCCGACGGCGGCGAGAATGACGACGACGACGGCGACGAGGAGGAGGAGGAGGAGGAGGAGGGGGAGGAGGGGGAGGAGGAGGAGGAGGAATTGTTGACCAAAGGGCGGGGAAAGCCGTCCGATACCCCAAGAGGGGGAGGATGGTGGAGGAGAAGGAGGAGGAAAAGAAGGAGGAGGAGGGCGATGAGGAGGAAGGAGGAAGAGCAGTGGACGATGATGATGATGATGATGATGATGATGATGATGATGATGATGATGATGATGATGATGATGATGATGATGATCATGATGATGATGATGATGATGATGATGATGATGAGGAGGCGGAGGAGGATGCTGATGCTGATGATGATGCTGGTGATGATGATTATGATGAAACGATGATGATGATGACGATGATGATGATGGTGATGATGATGATGGTGATGCTGATGATGATGCTGCTGATGATGACGATGATGGTGGTGATGATGATGCTGCTGCTGATGAGGATACTGATGATGATTCTGATTATGAATATTGATGATGACGATGATGATGCTGATGATGCTGATGACGATGCTGCTGATGATGATTAAATTTGATGATGCTGATGATGATGATGCTGATGCTGATGATGATGCGGATGCTGCTGCTGATGATGATGCTGAGGATGATCATGAAGATGATGATGACGATTATGATGATGCTGATGCTGATGCTAATGCTGATGCTGATGGTGATGAGGATCATGATGCTGCTGACGATTATGATGACGGTGACGATGATGATGATGCTGATGGTATTGATCAGGATGATGATGGTGTGGGATCATTATGATGGTGATGATGCTGCTGATGATTATGATGAAGGATATTATGATGATGATGATGATGACGATGATGATGATGATGATGCTGATGATGATGATGATGATGATGATGATGATGAGGATGACGATGATGATGATGATGATGAGGAGGAGGAGGAGGAGGATGCTGCTGCTGATGATGCTGATGCTGATGCTGATGGTGATGATGATGATGATGATGAGGAGGAGGAGGAAGCGGAGGATGATGATGATGCTGATTCTGCTGCTGCTGATGATGATGCTGATGATGATGATGATGACGACGATGATTATGATGATGATGATGATGATGATGATGATGATGATGATGATGATGAGGATGATGATGATGAGGAGGAGGAGGAGGATGCTGCTGCTGCTGCTGATGATGATGATGATGATGGGGTGATGATGATGCTGATGAGATGAGGAGGAGGAGGAGGTGGATGTGCTGATGATGATCTGCTGGCTGCTGATGATGCTGAGATGATGCTGATGATGATGCTGCTGCTGCTGTGCTGATGATGATGATGAGATGATGATGATGATTGAGATGATGATGAGGATGATGAGGATGAGAGGATGATGAGGATGATGATGAGAGGAGGAGAGGGAGGAGGAGGGAGGGAGGGAGGGAGGGAGGGAGGGGAGGGAGTTGAGGGAGGGAGGGAGGGAGGGAGGGGAGGGAGGGAAGGAGGAGAGGAGGAGGAGGGGGAGGAGGAGGAGGAGGAGGAGGAGGAGGGGAGGATGGAGGAGGAGGTAGGAGGAGGAGGAGGAGGAGGGGAAGAGGAGGAGGAGGGAGGAGGGAGGAGGAGGAGGAGGAGGAGGAGGAGGAGAAAGGGAGAGGGCGGGAGGCGGTGAGGAGGAGGAGGAGGAGGAGGAGGGGAGGAGGAGGGAGTAAGGAGGAGTGAAGAAGGAGGAAGAGAAGGAGGAGGAGGAGGAGGAGGAGGAGGAAGGAGGAGGAGGATGAGGAGGAGGAGGAGGAGGAGAGGAGCGCGAGGACGGAGGAGGAGGAGGAGAAGAGGAGGAGGAGGAAGAGGAGGAGGAGGAGGAGAGTCAGTAGCCTGAGAAGGAGGAGGAGGAGGAGGAGGAGGGGGAGGAGAATGAGCATCTTGGATAGCCCAGGCGCTTCTTTGAGGGTCTCGGGTGTCTCGGAATCCTCTTGAGGCCTCTTGGGGGTCTCTTGTGAGCCTCTTGGAGGCCTCTTGGGCGCCTCTTGGGCCTGTCTGGTCGCCGCTTGGGGCCCTCTTGGGGCGCTCTTGGGAGCTCCAGGGCACTCTTGGGGCCATCTTGGAGGACATCGATCGAAACAGACGGGGTGTTCAATTAGCCCCCCCCCCTCGGGAGCCCCAAAAGTCGCCTCTTGGGCCCTTCTTGGGGCGCTTTTGGAGCGCTCTTGGGCGCTCTTGGGGCCGTCTTGGGGCTCTTTTGGGCCCCTCTTGGGGCCCTCTTGGCCCTCTTGGAGCTATCTTGAGGCCTCGGAAGGCCATCGGAAGCGAAAAGGCGAGAAAGCAAGAAACTGATGTTCCTTAGGTTTTGGAAGGATTTTGGCCTCTTCGTGGCCTCCTTGGGGGCCGTCTTGGAGCGGTCTTGGGGCATCTTGAAGTATTTTGGGATATCTTGAGCCATCTTGAAGCTCATCTCGGGCTCTTCCGAGGCGCTCTCGGAGCCATCTTGGGCGATCTTGGACGCTCCAACCCCTCGCGGGACCCCCCGTCTAGGTCCAGGGGAGGGGGTAGGGGGAGAGGTAAACCCCTCCCCGAAGGGAAAGAGGGAGGGGTGGAAGAGGAGATGCGCTAGACCACCTACGCCCTAAAGGGCTGGTGGGATTCCTCGAGGAGGCCGAGGACGAGGACGACGGCGAGGGCGACGACGAGGACGAGGACGAGGATGGTGACGATGGCGGCGGCGGCCGCGGCGGCGGCCACGGCCACTCCCACGGGCCGCGACTGCGACTGTGACGGAGGGGCGCCCCCACCCCCAGGAAGCTGGGCCGCAGGTTGCGGCGGCGGCGGCGGCCCGCCGGGTCGCCGGAGCTATGAGGAGGGAAATGGTGTGTGTGCGCGGTCCTGTCGGCGTCGTCGCGGGCCCTTCCAGGGGCCACCTGGGCGTGAGCGCCAGCGGGGGAGAGGGGGGGCGGGAAGGGAAAATGCAGGGGGCATTGAGGGAGTCTATGAGGAGGAGGGGGGGAAGGACGAGGAGGAGGAGGAGGAGGAGGAGGAGGAGGAGGAGGAGGAGGAGGAGGAGGAGAAAGGAGGCAGAGGAGGAGGAGGAGGAGGAGGAGGAGGAGGAGGCGGAGGAGGAGGAGGAGGAGGCGTTCTAGTACCTCGCGGACCCTCCCCTTCCAGGCCAGGGGAGGGGGGAGGGGGAGGGGTCAAGCTACCCACCCGCCCGCAAGCCGTCTCGCTCACTCCCACCCGCCCTCCCAACACGCGAACATCACCCGATCCTGACCATGTTCAGCGGCCGTTTGTGGATGGGCAGCTACTGGGAACCAAGCCGACCCCAGGTGCGCGACGCTTGGGCGAGGTGAGCCACGCGTGCCAGCCGCGCCACGCGCCCCAGGACCCATGGGCCCGAGCGTGCCAGGCACGCGGGTGCGCCAGATGCGCCACGTGCCTCGAGTGCGCCAGGGGCGTCCGAACACTCCAGCGCTACAGGTGAGCACGGTCGGCGGCCACGTGCAGAATGCGCCAGGTTCGCCTGCGCACCGTAGACAGCACACATCGGGTAAAGAAACCATGTCGGCCCCCGCCATCCTTGTCGAATACCAATGCCCGTTACTGTGTCTGGTGGGCCTGCGCGCAGCTGGCCACGCCACCCCCGCCGTCCCTGTCGAAAACCACTTGACAGTGATCGCGGAATGGCCGCGCATGATCCAGATTTAGCCGCGATGTGCATGTTGTATTGTTTTTTGTCAGGGACGGTCGCCCTGCGCGCAGCAGGGAATATGCTGACACCCCCTCCATCCCTGTCGAAAGCAAGACAGAGTGCTCGCCAGCCTCACGAAGATGACTCAAGACTTTGACCAAAAGTGTACTTTGAATTCCCAACCATCCTGTGGTGTTGGGTCCTCGTTTTGAAGAGACAGCGCCCCGCGTCCCACCTCCTACTCCTCCTCTCTCCTCCCCCTCCTCCCTCCTCCCATCATCATCATCATCATCATCATCATCATCATCATCATCATCATCATCATCATCATCATCATCAACATCATCTCATCATCATCATCATCATCATCATCATCATCATCATCATCATCATCATCATCATCATCATCATCATCATCATCATCATCATCATCATCATCATCATCATCGTGATCGTCATTGTCATCGTCGTCATCGTCATCGTCATCACCCACTTCGGCACACCCCTCACACGTTTCGTGGCCCCATAGGGAGCTCCACCGAAGGCCCGAGGGCTGCCGCCCGCATGCGTCCCCTACACCCATTTCGGCACACCCCTCACACGTTTCGTGGCCCCATAGGGGAGCTCCACCGAAGGCCCCATGGCTGCCGTCCGCATGCGTCCCGCACACCCATTTCGGCACACCCCTCACACGTTTCGTGGCCCCATAGGGAGCTCCACCGAAGGCCCCATGGCTGCCGTCCGCATGCGTCCCGCACACCCATTTCGGCACACCCCTCACACGTTTCGTGGCCCCACAGGGAGCTCCACCGAAGGCCCCAGTGCTGCCGTCCGCATGCGTCCCGCACACCCATTTCGGCACACCCCTCACACGTTTCGTGGCCCCATAGGGAGCTCCACCGAAGGCCCCATGGCTGCCGTCCGCATGCGTCCCGCACACCCATTTCGGCACACCCCTCACACGTTTCGTGGCCCCACAGGGAGCTCCACCGAAGGCCCCAGTGCTGCCGTCCGCATGCGTCCCGCACACCCATTTCGGCACACCCCGCACACGTTTCGTGGCCCCATAGGGAGCTCCACCGAAGGCCCCATTCCATGGCTGCCGTCCGCATGCGTCCCGCACACCCATTTCGGCACACCCCTCACACGTTTCGTGGCCCCACAGGGAGCTCCACCGAAGGCCCCAGTGATGCCGTCCGCAAGCGTCCCGCACACCCATTTCGGCACACCCCTCACACGTTTCGTGGCCCCATAGGGAGCTCCACCGAAGGCCCCAGTGCTGCCGTCCGAATGCGTCCCGCACACCCATTTCGGCACACCCCTCACACGTTTCGTGGCCCCATAGGGAGCTCCACCGAAGGCACCAGTGCTGCCGTCCGCATGCGTCCCGCACACCCATTTCGGCACACCCCTCACACGTTTCGTGGCCCCACAGGGAGCTCCACCGAAGGCCCCATGGCTGCCGTCCGCATGCGTCCCGCACACCCATTTCGGCACACCCCTCACACGTTTCGTGGCCCCACAGGGAGCTCCACCGAAGGCCCCAGTGTTGCCGTCCGCATGCGTCCCGCACACCCATTTCGGCACACCCCTCACACGTTTCGTGGCCCCATAGGGAGCTCCACCGAAGGCCCCATGGCTGCCGTCCGCATGCGTCCCGCACACCCATTTCGGCACACCCCTCACACGCTTCGTGGCCCCATAGGGAGCTCCACCGAAGGCCCCATGGCTGCCGTCCGCATGCGTCCCGCACACCCATTTCGGCAAACCCCTCACACGTTTCGTGGCCCCATAGGGAGCTCCACCGAAGGCCCCATGGCTGCCGTCCGCATGCGTCCCGCACACCCATTTCGGCACACCCCTCACACGTTTCGTGGCCCCACACGGAGCTCCACCGAAGGCACCACTGCTGCCGTCCGCATGCGTCCCGCACACCCATTTCGGCACACCCCTCACACGTTTCGTGGCCCCATAGGGAGCTCCACCGAAGGCCCCATGGCTGCCGTCCGCATGCGTCCCGCACACCCATTTCGGCACACCCCACACACGTTTCGTGGCCCCACAGGGAGCTCCACCGAAGGCCCCAGTGCTGCCGTCCGCATGCGTACCGCACACCACATTCCGGCACACCCTCACACGTTTCCGCCCCATAGGGGCTCCACCGAAGGCCCCAGTGTTGCCGCCCGCATGCGTCCCGCACGCTCATTTCGGCACAGCTCTCACGCGTTTCGTGGCCCCAAAGGGAGCTCCACCGAAGGTCCCAGTGGGTGTGCCCGCATGCGTCCCGCACACCCATTTCGGCATACCCCTCACACGTTTCGTGGCCCCACAGGGAGCTCCACCGAAGGCCCCAGTGCTGCCGCCCGCATGCGTCCCGCACACCCATTTCGGAACACCCCTCACGCGTTTCGTGGCCCCAAAGGGAGCTCCACCGAAGGTCCCAGTGGGTGTGCCCGCATGCGTCCCGCACACCCCTTTCGGCACACCCCTCGCACGTGTCGTGGCCCCATAGGGAGCGCCACCGAAGAAGATATTCACAATTGCGGTATTCACAATTGCATATGGTTGGGTCCTTCGCCTGGATAATTGTTTTTTGATCGGGTTGGTGGGGGGGGCAGCATCGGGTTGGCCGCGCATGCTCCAAATGTGGAGGCAGAGTGCGGTTTGTATGGTTTTTTACCAACCATCCTGTGGTGTTGGGTCCTCGTTTTGAAGAGACAGCGCCCCGCGTCCTCCCTCCTTCTCCTCCTCCCCCTCCCTCCTCCTCTCACCCGTCATCATCACCATCATCGTCATCATCATCGCCGTCATCAGCACCATCACCCCTCACATGTTTCGTGGCCCCATAGGGAGCTCCACCGAAGGCCCCACTGCTGCCAGCCACATGCGTCCCGCAAACCCAGTTCGGCACACCACTCACATGTTTCGTGGCCCCATAGGGAGCTCCATCGAAGGCCCCAGTGCCACCGTCGGCATGCGTCCCGCACGCCCAATTCGGCACACCCCTCACACGTTTCGTGGCCCCATAGGGAGCTCCACCGAAGGCCCCAGTGATGCCGGCCGCATGCGTCCCGCACACCCATTTCGGCACACCCCTTTTTTTTTTTTTTTTTTTTTTTTTTTTTTTTTAGACTTTTTTTTTCATTTTTCACAGTTTCGTGGCCCCCGTAGGGAGCTCCACCGAAGTCCCCAGTTTGCACCGTTGCATGCTTCCCAGCACGCTCAATTCGCACACCCCTCGCACGTTCGTGGGCCCCATAGGGAGCTTCCGAACGGCCCCAGTTGCGCCGGCAGCATGCGTCCCCGCCACACCAATCGGGGCACACCCATTCACACGTTTCGTGGCACCTTAGGGAGTCCACCGAAGGGCCAGTACGCCGGCCGGCATTGCGTCCCGCACGCCCAATCGGCACCACCCCTCACACGTTTCGGTGGCCCCGTAGGTTGCTCCACGGAAAGGCCCCAGCGCTGCCGTCCGCCATGCGTCCCGCACACCAATTTCGGCACACCCCTCACACGTTTCGTGGCCCCATAGGGAGCTCCACCGAAGGCCCCAATGCCGCCGGCCGCATGCGTCCCGCGCACCCAATTCGGCACACCCCTCACACGTTTCGTGGCCCCATAGGGAGCTCCACCGAAGGCCCCAGTGGCACCGCCCGCATGCGTCCCGCACACCCAATTCGGCCACCGAAGGCCCCAGTGCTGCCGCCCGCATGCGTCCCGCACACACGGTCCGGCGCGCCCCTCTCATACGTTTCGTGGCCCCATAGGGAGCTCCACCGAGTGCCCCAGTGCCGCCGGCCGCATGCGTCCCGCACACCCAATTCGGCACACCACTCACACGTTTCGTGGCCCCATAGGGAGGTCCACCGAAGGTCCCAGTGGCACCGCCCGCATGCGTCCGCCACCACCCAGCACAGCCCTTGCTCCTTGCGATTCACCCACCCAGTACAGCGTTTCGTGGCCCCATAGGGAGGTCCACCGAAGGTCCCAGTGGCACCGCCCGCATGCATCAGCCACCAGCCAGCACAGCCCCTACTCCCTGCGTTTCACCCACCCAGTACAGCGTTTCGTGGCCCCCATAGGGAGCTACACCGAAGGTCCCAGTGGCACCACCCGCATGCGTCCGCCACCACCCAGCACAGCCATTGCTCCTTGCGTTGCACCCACCCAGTACAGCGCTTCGTGGCCCCATAGGGGGCCCCTCCGAAGGTCTCAGTGGCACCGCCCGCATGCGTCCGCCACCACCCAGAA